CAAAGCAGATATTGTGGGGTTTTCTACCTTGATATTCTGGGTTATATGTTTGTGTGGAAGGGCCCTTATAAACAAATCATGTCACAAAAATCCAGTGATAGGTTTGCCTGAAGCTTGCCATAGATCAGAAATAACTTGAAGGCACACAATAACCACAATTGACTTATTTACTTGGAGTCTACAGAAGGGGTGATAGTTCTGGTAGGCTAACTATACCTTATTGTGATGAAAAATATAGCTTTACTGATTATAGTGAAGACTCGGATACAAGAAAGCTTTGAAAACTTTATTTTAATTACGACTTTAAAGTGAATCATATTTTTCCTTAGTCGAGGTAGCTGGGCTTGACATTTCAGCCACTCTCCTAATTGGAGTCATTTTTGAATCCAGGTCCAAAGCCCATGTACTGTTAAGTAAATGAAATAAATATGCTTTCAAGAAACATGCTTCTGAGTAAATAGGCTGGGATCTTCAGCACTCTGTGAAGAGAGGGGGAACTGGGGAATTATATAGGGTTGAGTGAGGTTTTCCAAATCCTATTGGGACATTCGGGATTATACTGGAGTGGATAATGTAAAGGGGATGGTAGCAGAGAGGAGGAGGAGGAGGAGGAGAGAGGGCACGGAAAAGGGGGAAGGGTGGAAGATGAGGCTGCAGCCTGTATTGCCTGGCACAGCAGGAGCAGAAGTCCTTGGCCACACACCCTTTCCATTATCACAGAAATAGCTGCACTGGGAAGGCAAGGGGGAAAGTAATGGTGCATCAAGGAAGCTTGCCTCTGTGGGATGCTCTAGAGCAGGGCTTCTTGAACCTTTTCAGCCTTTCCATCCAAGACATTTTTATATGACCCCGAGTACATAAGGAGTAAAAAAAAATTCTGATAATAAACCATTATTTGCAAAACATGCTAAAGAGACTGATTTTCCTTTTTGTGGAGTGCAGCTGAATCATTTTCTGCAGAGTCCACTGTTAACACTGCACGTTATTGCTAATAGATTTGCAGAAATGGGCAGCACCCAGTAAACTTTTACTGTTGCCAAATTTTTCATTATCCCAATATTGAGGTAAGAAGATCCTATTAGGGATAAGGACCCTTAGTTTAAGAAGCAGTACTCTAGAGTAGAGTTTCTCAAACTCTGCTCCAAGTATTTTGGACTTCAGCTCCCAGAAATCCCAGCCAGCTTACCAGCTAATGGGAATTGTGGGAGCTGAAGTCCATCTGGAGGAGCACAGTTTGAGAAACTCTGCTCTAGACGTAGGTTGAACCTAGCTCTGGAAGCAGGACAAAACCAAAGTGCTAAGATGGACTTTTGTTGGCAAGTCAGTTACCTAAAGTTTCTTGTGTGGGGAAAGTGGGAGCCAGCTTTCAATACCCTTCCTTAAGAGCTGTTGTGTTGGACTGGTGAAAGAAGAAGTATATTTGAAAGAGATAGAGGTCAGTTTTCTGGGATCACACACCACCCACTGCAGAAGGTTAAGCATTTCCACCTTATTGCCCATGTTGCCCAGTGGGAGATAAAGTTAAACTAAACTACCCTCACCCATTATGACCAGTATGTAGCAGTGAAAAGGCACCAGACAGTGTGTGTATAATATCCAAGTGGACAGGCCTTATTGTGGGATAGGAAAAATTCACTATCTCGCTGAGCTTTCCTGACTGGCCACTTGGAAAGTCCTGGAGAAGCAATTGATACTTTCAAATGGATCGCAGCCTGATGCCCCAGCACAGTTTGACACACACACACACACACAACCTTTAAATAGTTAAAAATCAAGAATGGTCTTCCAGCTCTGTTTGTTTTGTTTTTGCTATTTGTGGCGATCTGTACAGGCCTCCTGGGGATCCCTGGGCAGGAAATTAGCTCCCAGACCTACGTAAGTTTTTCACCCTCTTTGCCTTACTTGGTGAAAAGACCAGAGTTGTTTTGGTCTTCTTAAAGGGCAGAGATGGTGAAGTCCTGCTCTGTCTTTTGATACAGGCCCATTCTACACTGACATATAAAATCCAGATTATCTGCTTTGAACTGGATTATATGCCCCTATTAAGGGGCTTTCTTGGCAGGATTTCTTCAGATTTGCTTTTGCTTTCCTGAAGCTGAGAAAATATGACTTACCCAAGGTCACTCAGACCCATTCTACACTGTCCATATAATCCACATTATCTGCTTTGAACTGGATTATATGAGTCCACATTGCCATATAATCCTATTCAAAGCAGATAATTGTATTATATGGCAGATCAGAAGGGGCCTCAATGGATTTCCATGGTAGAGTGGGGATTTGAATCCTGATCTCCAGAGCCACATTCTAACATTTGACCCATGACACCACACTGGCTCTCTACTTCACCCAGCATGTTGTGGAACTTGTAATCTGAAATATCTGGAGAGCAACAGGCTCCCTGTTCAGAGTTTTCTGTGTTGGGATCTAGTTCTGTCCCTCTCCACATATCTAACCTGTTGCAGCTATGAAACCATTCTGGTTGCTGTGTTTAGTCCCATTGAGCTATTGGGGTCCCTTAAGACCACACAGTCATAGTGCTGTATTTCAACTTTAACTGCCATGGTTTAATTGTATGGAATCCTGAGATTTGCAATTTATAGAGGGGCATTTAGAGTTGCCTTTGGGCTTGGAAAGGTGGTATACAAATATGGTAAATAAATAAATAGGATGTCTCATCCAGAGTGTTCCAGTGCCCCACCAACCTACAATCTCAAAGATTCCAAAGAAAAGAATGATGACAGTTAAAGTGGAATAATTGTTGTTGTTGTTGTTGTTGTTGTTCTTCTTCTTCTTCTTTTTCTTCTTCTCAGAAAAGCTCATAATTTTGCGCCAGTGATTATATGTTAATTGAATATCTTTCTGTTTTACTATGTAACATATACTCAATGAAAGGGCACATGTGWACATTATGTGTGGATTGTATTTTTCCCACACAGGAAACCTAAACCTTTTTCATATGTATATGCAGATTTMATTTACAGATGCATAAATTGGAGCATTTGTGGCACTTATCCTCCCCCTCTATCCAGAGCTGTTATTCTTTTCATTCTACAACATTTGCAACATGCATGACAATGTATCTGTACACATTTTTTTTTGTATACAAATCTGTTTCTAAAACGTGTGAGACTAAAACCAGCCCAACCCATCTATCTACATAAACTTTCCTGCAGGGCACATGAACAAAGGACTCTGAAATTCCTGTTCAGGGTGTTAAGTGGGGAGTATGGATGTGCCATAGTTAACTCTTTAATGCTTAGTGGTGCCACCTATAATGACTATTTCTTTGTGTCTGCATACAAAGGAAACAAAAACCTTGTGCTGAATAAAGATGCACAACTGACTCTCCATATCCATGAGTTCTGCCATATCCATTTAATCTTGGATGGGATAGCACCTACTTGTCCCTTTGAACAACACGGTTCTCAGTTTGGAGCATTTCAGGACAGCTTTGCTCCTGGATGCCTGCCTGTAGCTATAACTTGAAGTGTTTTTGACCAGCTCAGGTTGGTCCACCAACTTCATCCATTCCTGATGAGGTCAGTGCTGGCTGTGGTGACTTACACTTTGGTAATGTTTTGGCTGGATTACAGGAACACACTCAATATGAGGCTCCTTCTGAAGAGGGTTTGGAAAATTCATCAGATCCAGAATGCAATGGTGACAAAGCAGGTGGGCAATGGCTTCTGAGATCATGTTACTGCTTTCCAAGAAGGGCTTCGGTAGTTTATTGTTGAAGGCTTTCATGGCCAGAGTCACTGGGTTGTTGTAGGTTTTTTGGGTTGTGTGGCCACGTTCTAGAAACATCCTCTTCTAACGTTTCGCCTTCATCTATGGCAAGCACCCTCAGAGGTTGTGAGGTCAGTTACCAGTTTCTTTTTGAGTACAGTTCGTTGGTGGTGATTCTTGAAGTCCTAAATGGCTTCAATTCAGTGTCCTTTGGAAGTGGTTTCCTAATGTCTTGGCCAACCCAAATCCTAAGATCTAAAAGAGAGTTTGTCCTTTCTAAAGTCTCAGTGACCGCAGAAGCATGATAGATGAAAACATAGAAGCCTCAATGACTTCCCCTTATCTGTGGGATCTTCTGTGATCATATGCTGCCCGATGGCGAGTTATGACTTCCCTGTTGATAATCACCTGCTACAATGTTCAGTGGTTCTCAACCTGTGGGTCCCCAGATGTTTTGGCCTACAACTCTCAAAAATCCTAGCCAGTTTATCAACTGTCGGATTTTCTGCTTTGATATTTTGGGAGTTGAAGGCAAAAACATCTGGGGACCCACAGGTTGAGAGCCAATATGTTACGTGGATCAATTGTTCTTAGACTTCCTACAGGTTTATTATTATTATTATTATTATTATTATTATTATTATTATGTTGCTGTAACTAACTGTACCCATGGAGTCAATATCCATGATTTCACTTACATTTCACAAAAATCTCACTAAAATGTTTGTGGAAGTTTCTAGGTCCTGTATGATTCTATGGTATCCTTTTAAACAAGTATATATAGTCAAACCATGGGCTTTGTTATTACAAGCAGTTTCAGGTATTTGGGGGGTGAGTGAGTTGTAGAAGGCATCCCCATGTTGTGTATATTTTATGATGGGCTTTAACTTCTGCCAGGGACAGGTGTTTGAACTCAAAGCTATCAGTTCCAGATGGCAAAGCCACTGGTTTGGGATTGTGGGAACTGTACTCTAAAACATTTAGAGAGTGCTTTCTTCATTTGGGCTGACTTATGAATTCAGAAGAAGAGATAAAGAAAGGTACCACAGAGTTATTTTCTGAGTTCTCAGATCCAAACTTATGAAATAAGGGTGTTCCCTGTGCAAAACTCTCAAAATAAGATGCCCATCAAAGTAAAACTGTGTTGCAACTCTTGCTGAACAGAGCACTATAGGGTAAACTAAGTGGCTTTTTGGCTCCAGGCAGCATAGATTTTTAAAAATCTGGTATAAAGTATATAGCAAGCATCCAAACTATCCTCCAGTTTCCAACGTGCTCATACCCTGCCAATAGCTAGAGACCTTTTCAGAGACCTGCGGCAGGAGAGAATGTGGTAAAGACAAGTTTCCTGTTCGCCAGGAAACAGCACTTGCCTTGTTTGCTTGCAGTTTGAAGCAAGTGCCATGTTAATGAGGAAGCAAGAGCGAGTGAGCAGGGAAGGGGCTGGGTTCCCTCCACCCCCAAGAATGCAGGGGCTGGACATTCCTTGTGCTCTGATGCTGATCAGCCAGTCCTTGTGCATTGAACAGCCCCAGTCTCCCCGATAACATGTTGCGACAGCTGGGGCTCAGATAGGCACAAGAAACTTTGCCTCTGTTGATCTTCAGGCTGGAGCCATGAGAAGCACTTGCAGGTCTCCTGCCAGTCTCTCTACCAGCCACTGGTTTCCCATTCATTATTAGAAATACAGAAACCCCCTTTTCCTCTCTTCAGGTCTTCAACTCTGAGGGGTGGAAACAAAGTCCTGTTCCCAGCAGCTGTGTTTGTGTTATCTGAGTTCTGAAATGCGGAGCAAGGTCAGTGCACCAGACCGAACTTTGTCTCAACCTCGCTTGTTTCCTTCCTCTTCCACAGTATGTTTGCCCCCTCACAGCTGAGTGGATCGCTGGCATGACAGACTTCTGACCATTAGGAGGGAAGTGACTATAGCTTTGCATTTCTGCTGGCATATACAGGCTCGAATGTTACAAACAGTATCTGAGCCCTTCTTTGTTGACTAAGGGGGTGGAAAATTGTAAGAGCAGGCATCCTGTCCTCAGCATCGTGTAAACTTCTGATGATGCAGAAGCTTGGCAGCGGAAGCAGTTTCGTCTGGTGATTATGGGACTGCTCTTTAACCTGCATCAAGATGCGCCTTCAGAAATCAAAATAAGGAGACAAACAAATTAGTAGGCACTAACTGTGGAGCAGAGACTTCAGGATGTCCCACACAGTAACTTTCACCTTTCGTGCTCCTGAGAACACTGAGGCTAAGGGGTGAGTGTACTTCGGACTCATTTGCTATGTTATGAGTACTAAATTTATAAGATTGCTTTCTTGTGACCTAGATGAGCACTAAGATGTGTTATATGACTAGTGCAATGCACCTTAGTTGCTATAAAAATTAATCTAGGTAAGTAGTACCTCTTCCCTTTAAATTATTTCTATTTTGGCAAGCATTTCTTGCCAAAAATAGATGATGTTGTCCCAAGACACGCTGTTAATCAAAGATGTCTAAGGCCCCTTCTACACTTCCATATAAAATCCAGATTATCTGCTTTGAACTGGGTTATTTGGCAGTGGCTCATTTTTTATTGTTGTTTTATTGTTTTATCCCACTCCCACCCTCCCCTCCCTGTACATGCAATGTATACATCAAACTACAGAAGTTACATTTGAAATATGTAGTCCCCATCTTAGCACATTCTCTAAATAATTCCTAACTGGTTCCCACATCCTCTTAATTATTGTAACCTTTTCAGTTTTATCTATATTATTCAATTTACAATCTGTTATTTCCACATTTAACATATTAACTATATACTTATACCAATTACTCAATGTCCATTTTGTTTTATCTTTCCAACCCCTCACTAAACTAAATTATTTGGCAGTGTAGACTCATATAATCCAGTTCAAACCAGATCATGTGGATTATCTGCTTTGATAATCTGGATTATATGGCAGAGTAGGAGGGGGCTGGGCCCCCTTCCATGCATCTGAATAAAATCCCACATTTTCTGCTTTGAAGTGAAATATATGGCAGTGTGGACTCAGATAACCCAGTTCAAAGCAGATATTGTGGAATTTTCTGCCTTGATATGCTGGGTTATATGGCTGTGTGGAAGAGCCCTGAGAGTCAAATGGCTAGTAAGTCACAGAGAATTGAACTGAGACTTGAGAATTGCTGGTTCTAGTCCCTACTAGATTGAGGCACTTCTTAATCCTGGTCCTGTCACTCTTTTTCAGCCTAATCTATTTCATATGGGATAAAGTGGAAAAGAGACAAGCTATGTACATTGTTTTGAAGTCATTCAAGGAACAGAGGAATATAAATTTAACCAATAAATAAATAATATCTCCCACACCTCCTAGGAAGCAAAAACTAACCCGGAAGTTGAAACTTGTTACCTATTTAGAGCATAACATCCTGATTGCTGAAAATCTGAAAGACATTCAAGAAGAGCAGGAAATGCACTGAGTATGATACTTACTCAGAAACATTAAAACACACATATAGTATTTCAAGACTGTAAAATAGGGTGTGACAGACATGTTTAGTTTTACTTGATAAGAGGTCAGAATTTTTTCACAGAGAGAAACAGGCCACACAGGCGATAGGAATGCTGGAGCATGGGAACCTCTTTGCCTTTTCTTGTGTGTGGGTAGAAGAGGCACGTCCACTTGCATCCACGCAGACTTTTAAAATGGAACCAGAGGACAAAAAAAATCTTTATTGGGCAAGATCAGTGGACTGTTTGCTCTAATATGTTGTCATCAAGGAGTCAGTCAGAGGAAGTACAAAGCTAGTGATCCAGAGCAATAACCAATTACTCAGAACTGTAGTTTTTGTTAATGCCACAGTCATCAGAGTATGCTGATAGCAAAATTGCCCCATTGTTTCATTAGCTTTCTGATCTTTTGATGGAAGTAAGATTGTGTCACAGTTCCCGTAAACAGTAAAGCTCTGAATTGAGAAGGTTTCGGCAACTTTGGACTCTGGTTGGTACACACAGATACTGTAAATGGTTTACAGAGATTTATTTAATCAAACTAAAGGATTCTCATAATCCTTGCTTTCTTGTTTATATTTGTGTTGCCTAAATTGGTCTCCACACAGATCTCTGGTGTGCCTGTTGTCTATTATCATGGAGTTTCACATTGTCCATCCTAACTGGATCTGTAGAGTATATGAGTAAGGGCTGTACTCTGAGGAAAAACACTTACATTAAGATTGCCAAATCTGACCTGAGTTTTCAGTTTTCTGGTGTCATCTCCAGATGGGAATCACACAAGCAAATTCTTGCTGGACAAATGTCCAGCACACTTAGTAGAGCATCACTTTACTACAATTCACAAGGCTTTGTTGATATCTCATAACAAGTTGTGAAGGCTCTCCAAGGCAGCTGGGTATTTATTTACTCAGTTCCCTCCTTCCTTCCCAGTTGTTATGGCACCAGGGAAAGCACACCAGAACAAGTGTTCCCTTCCCTGTCTTCCAAAGTAAGTGAGAAGGAAAAACCTATCTCCAAACAACCCCTTTAGTTGCTGTTTTGATTCACAATATGCTATCTTTGTGTGAGCAACTGTGGTAAGAACTTGTTTAATTATGAAGTTGACTCTAAGGCCCCTTCTACACTGCCCTATATCCCAGGATCTGATCCCAGATTATCTGCTTTAAAAAGGATCATATGAGACTCCACTGCCAGACAATCTGGAATAAGCAGATAGTGTGGGATCAGATCTTGTGATATATGGGCATTGTGGAAGGAGCCTAGGTCACAGTTTCAGTCCAGAAGCCTCAGGACCTGGGACAATCCAACACTGGCAACTCTACCAAACACAGCCATTGTATTATACCTTAAGATGCATTCAGTTGGTTAGAAGAAAAGGTGGTGGCGGCACTGCCTTTGGCTTAGTTCCCACAGTTGATTCCAATTGCATTTCTAGGGACTTCCAGCATGTTATGGTCCTGAAAAAAATGCATTATTAATTTCAAAAATGGCTCTTTTTTCCTGAAGAGTGTGCATTCAGAAACCTTTAGCTTAACGGTTTTAGCATTGGACTGTGACTTTATAGAGCATGGTTCAAATCCCTGCTTGACCATGAAAACCCATTGGGTGGCCTTGGGCAAATCAGACATTCTTCACCTCAGAAAACCCCATGAAAGGGTTCCTATAAGTTGAAAATAACTTGATGGCATTTGAAAACACCAAATCTAAAGGCCTTAAGGTTCATTGTGGACTCATTTTTCCGTACTCTCCAATCTTAGCTTAGTATTCTCATTAGACTGAAAGAAGAAAGCCCTACGCCTAGGTTGTTTGATGGGTGTCTGTGAGGTTTTTGCTTTTATCTACTCTTGGAGTTATTTCATATGTTAACAGGAGAAGCAGATCCCTTCTATCCCAGCATATGTCAGATCGCTATGTACCATTTTTGCCACTCAGTACACAAAATGGAAGTATGCAACAGGGAGCTTCATTAGCCATCACCGTCTATAAGAAAATATGGACATAAAAAATCAACAACTGACCAAGGATACATAATTACCTTTCACTGCTCTGAACTGGAAGCAGCTACTTTGTGTCTGATTTTACTATAATGTTTGGAGTAGTTTTTAGTTCCTTTTAAAAGCAACAACCTTTCAAGACACATGCCCTGCTCTTTATTTTATTTTATTTATTTACTCCTATTTGTATCCCGCCTTTCTCTATCCCGAAGAGGACTCAAGGCAGCTTTACATATGGCAACTATTCAATGCCTTTGATCAGCAACCAATTAGAAAACACTTAAGTTAAAATTAAAATTAAATGCACATTAAAACATAAATAATTGCATTCACTATTAAAAATGACACTACAATCTTAACCTGGGGCCATTCCAAAGATTTTTTTTCCCCATATTAGAAGTGACTTGAGAAACTGCAAGTTGCTTCTGGTGTGAGCGAATTGACCGTCTGCAAGGACATTGCCCAGGGGATGCCCAGATGGTTTTTTGAGGTTTTACCATCGTTGTGGGAGACTTCTTTCATGTTCCCGCATGGGGAGCTGGAGCTGATAGAGGGAGCTCATCCACACTCTACCCGGATTCGAACCTCCAACCTGTCGGTCTTCAGTCCTGCCAGCACAAGGATTTAACCCATTGTGCCACCAGGAGCTCTGTTCCAAAGATTAATTACACATATTACGAGGCTATTATTGCACTATAGATTAATCTTTAAAGGCTTGACCCCAGAGCCAGGTTTTCACTTTCCTTCTGAAGGCCAGGAGGGAGGGAGCTGCTCTAATATAACTAGGGAGGGAGTTCTTCTAGTACACAAACTCATACCTGTGTGTTGCATTGTATAGACATTATGTATTTGGGAGCTCATTGTTCAGAACAGATACTATAATGGATGAAAGAGAAAAAAAGATACTTGGTAGACTCTACCTGTTCCTAAACACCCCCTCCTTCTCGCTATGTGCCTGACTTATAGCATTACGCCTCATGAATCAAGTCTGAGCTAGGATAATGTCCTTTTAGGAAATCTGCCAGTTGCATAGTTTTGTTCCTGGTTCTCTGTTCCCTGCAGCGAGGACACAAGTCCATATGATGAAGGTGCCGTCCACGATTCCTTCCATCAGCTCATCCAGGAGCAGAGCCAGTTGGCTGAACAAGAGATGGTGGAGATGGAGGACCTGGCTTCAAGGGGCAGAGGTGAGACAGGTCACAGCTGCAGTGCTGAGGCTTAAGGGGTGGGTATATTTCTCTCAGAAACATTGCAGGGAAATAGAGAAATAGCGGTGGAAGTGAAACATATATTTACTGGAAGTAGCTTTCCCTGTTAAGTTTTTTCCTCTGAAGCAAGTATGATGATCAACTAGGGAAAAGACTGTTCTTCTAATGTAACTCTAGTTTTTACTAACAACATTTGGTTTGCCAATTAAAAAGTGAAACATGTCACAGATTGCATCGTTTGTAGAGAAAACCAGTAAAAATAAAATTCAGTGATCTTTTCCAGATGCTAATTAGCCATGGGACATGGGGTTGCGTGTGAACCCATATCTTCCCAGCAAGTGGTGATGCGGCAAAAGAAACAGTACTAGTCTTAAAAACTCTTAAATATTTGTTTTCTACTGTACAGATCCCTTGGAGAGGATTTCCTATGGTCATAGAGGAATTAGGCTAGATAGCAGAATGTGTTGTTTAAATAATTTGATCATTATGAAAGCTTGAGAATTCCCTGAAACCTAATTTGTTAACAGCACTGAATCTCAAAAGTTGTAGAAACAATCAAGCAATCCTAGGAACCAACTCTTGTCCTGTTAATTTATCCTTCTGTGATTGCTTCAAGAGCAGATTTCTGTAAAAATGAAAAAATCCAAGTCCTGTAAGGTACGCAGCCTAATTACATATTATGCAAACCATCTGTACAGATTAGCAGCTCTAATTGGTGCCATCTTTAGCATAAGCAACTATTTATCCTGTAAAAAAAGATCTGTTACCTCCTGTACACATGTACAGAGAATGTGGCTTATGTGCTTTCTCCTCCCCAATGGTCAGAGGCTGGAGAATCACCAGAGGAAACAGTGGAACATCCCGATTTCTCCTCCACCACACTGAGGATCCTTGCCAGCATGCCAAGCAGAACTATTGGTAAGTAACCTGCATGGCAGCATCTGGTCTGATTTCTTTTGTGAAGCAGAAGCCACAGGCACAAGTTGAAATTCTGAAACCTGAATGCTCAGGAGCTTAGCAGAGCAATAGCTATCTATTTGATGAGATGTGCTCATCATCTTTTTGTGCCTCTCTGTTCTCTTTGCAGGCCGTAGCAGAGGAGCCATCCTGTCCCAGTATTATAATCGCACTGCCAGATTGCGCCGCAGGAGCAGCCGTGTACCATTGCAAAAAGTGTCCCGCTCTGCACGTCCCAGTGTTCGGCAGCTTGATCTAGAGCTGGATTCTGGTCAGGAGGAAGAAGAAAGTAAGTTGGCTGAAAGAGCTAGGAAGATGGCACTCTTGGGCAAGGAGGCAGTTCTAAAGAATTGGGAGCAATGCTTCCCCAAGGCTACTAGCTATGTACTACAAATCATGCTAACCCTAATGTTTAGCATGATACAGGAACGAGTAAGTGGTCCTCCATATGTTGTTGGATCATGATCCCCATGAACCCTAGCTAGTATAAGCAATGGTGCTAGATTATAGGACTTGCAGTTTACTATGTGGTGGGCCAGATAAATCCTAAATCTGCCACATGTTATCCACCCATTCAGATGTTTTCACTACAGTCCCTCTCTTCTGGTATTACTCGAACATAGTAAAAATTTGACTTCCTCAGCAGAAGAGGCAGGAACTCTGTAGGTTTTCCAGCTGTGATGTCCAGAAGAGTCCTGGTAGCCAGTAGCCACAGTTTTTCAAGATTTCATATGGTGGTTCTCTGGCCCATTTCACCATAAACATTCTATTTTCTTGTTGTCAACCACTATTCTCTGTACTATTAATATTATTTTGCTTTAATGGTGCCTAGATCCAGAGAGGAACATGTTTGAAGGGTTCTTCTTTGAGTTGTTTTTCTTCCTGCTGACAAAATGGGTACCTATGAGAAATGTTGTTTCTGTCTCCCTGATTACTGACCTCTTGCTACCTATGTGCTTTCCTTCCTAGCCAAGCGTACCTTGTTGGTGAAAGAACTTCGGAGCCTACCAGCAAATCAGCGTATTAACATGCTTCAAGCAATGCCTCTAAGTCTGACTGAAAAGCGTCGACTCAGGTCAGTGCCTGTTTGTAACCTTGTTTTGTTGTTTATTATTTATTTACTTCATTTCTACCCCACCTTTCTCATCCCTCTTTGCCTCTAATATTCTTTCCTCCAGTGAGCAGTTGGGCATTATTTCCTGGAGTATAGACTGGTTTGATCTTCTGCTGGTCCAAGGCACTCCTCCAACACAATATGCAGCTTTACTCTCTACCTTTTCTGCCCACAAGCTCTTTCTGGACAAAGAATAGGCAATGTGGGGATCGGATTGAGGGACTGTGCCTGAAACAGCATGAAGAATTCATAATTCTGTTCATAACAGCAACTTTTCTGCACTGCTTTTAAATCTGCCTGTTTATCTCTTTTGTAGGCAAGATTCAAGTGGCTACTCAGGGACCTTGCAAAAACCCAAGACGACTGCTCCTTTGTCACAGTGCAGCCGGCTTAAATACCACATCATTATAGTAAGCCATTGTCTATCTCTTCTACCTAAGTAGTACAAGAACAATCGTCTACTTTGGTACTCACGCTCTCAGGACAGGGAGGCATATTCTATGCTCATGTCTTGGGCAGATGCTGCTAATAGATTTCACCTGCACCCTTCTTACCAAGGTTAATTGATTGCACATTTTCACACAAATAAGAACTGGCATTGGTTTCATTCCTTCACCAACTGAAGTGAGTCCTTGACTGCTGCTGGGGTTTGATTCCAAGGCTCTTATGGGATTTGGTTTTAGGGAGATCTTACAAAATAGAGTAAGACAAATTATTTTAATAAATAATAATGGTAAAATGTAACATATACATGCTTGCTGGGTATCAGAAAACTCCACGCTCACATTTGGGGTCTCCTTGGGATGAAAGTGTGGCTCCTATGTCTTCCTTAGACTGTGTTGGAAAGAAATGTTTACAAGGTTCTTTCACGAAATCCATGATTTTTTTAAAAAGTTGTAAGAACTGTGGGAGCTTTTAGCTTTTGTCTCTTTGCCAAAAAGTTGCTATTGATCTCAGCAGGATGTTAACATGCTTTACACAAATCTGAGTTATTACATGGAGTGCAGAAAGAAAGGGTTCACCCCTTGTCATGATAGTGATTTGTGTAGAAGGAGCAGACTTTTGTTCGATGAGCTCACTTTGTGAAAAACAGTAGCAGCCAATTTTGATGCTGAGAATTTGGAAAAATAGGAAAGATGGCTTTGGCTCTCTCATTCTGGTTAACCAAGAAGCATCCCTTTTGCTATGCAAATGGAAATGTTCAAAGAGTGGCTTAATTTAAAGTGTTCCTCATCTAAAATGAAAGCTGTTGCTATTTCTCTTCACTTTGCACAGGCAAAGTGCTTCTCGGCAGCCATTTAAGAGCAAGCTGAGGGGAAGGTATGGCAGTTTTCCCTTCAACATGAGTGCATTTAAATCTGTGTTTATGTTTTGAGAAACCACTTTCTGTAAAGATTGAACATCTCAGTTCATTATAAGCTAGACTTGGGGAAGAAACTGTTTTGACATTTCTTCTTTATCAAATGTTTTGTGGGTTTTGACCAGTTTGCTTCTTTGATGTAATAATAATTATTATTATTATTTTATACCTCACCAACCATCTACCCTAGGGGACTCTTATTTTAGAACAGTGGTTCTCAACCTGTGGGTCCTCAGATGTGTTGACCTTCAACTCCCAGAAATCCTAACAGCTGGTAAACTGGCTGGGATTTCTGGGAGTTGAAAGCCAAAACACCTGGTGACCCACAAAGTGAGAACCACTGTTTTAGAAGCTAGATATTAGAGGAGTAATGCATGGTTTTAAAACTTCCTAATGCTAATAGGAAGAAGCCCAAAAGGGCCTATTATTAGTCCAAGGTAGCTCAGGTGCTCATTTGTATAAATTCATCATCTTTGGAACTGAAGAGCGTCTTCATCCATGTCCATTTTCCTTGCAGGGTTTCCGGAATCTCTGGTACAGCCTGCTGTCCCTCCTTCACACTCTCCAGCCCTGGCATTATTCTCTCAAGCAGATCAGTGGTCGCTTTGGATCCAGCATCCTTTCTTATTTCCTGTTCGTCAAGACTTTGCTTATGTTTAATCTCTTCTTGCTCCTGATTCTGCTGGTCTTTGTAGTTGCCATGCAGGCTACTTACCCTCCTGCCACACGCAACAGAGAACCCTTTACAGGGCTTGAGCTCTTCACTGGAGCCGTGAGTATTCATCGAATAAATCGTGTGTGCTTCTAGCACTGAAAGAAGAATCCAACATGCTTCTACCTGTGACATGTGCTGGAAAATATTAATATGCCTTTTCCCTTATTCCCTGTTCCCACCATGGATTAAGAAAAAGGATGCAGCAGAATTGCTTGCTTGTCTCATAAGAGTTTTTCCCCTAATGTAAATGAAAACCATACTCCTCTATTGTGACAAGGAAATAAGAACATGTAGATCACTCTGGCCCCTGGAGGCGCAGTGGGTTAAACTGCTGAGCTGCTGAACTTGCTGACTGAAAGATTGGTGGTTCCAATCCAGGTAGCGGGGTGAGCTCCCACTGTTAGGCCCAGCTTCTACCAACCTAGCAGTTTGAAAACATGCAAATGTGAGTAGATCAATAGGTACCACATCTGTGGGAAGGTAGAGGTGCTTCATGTGGTCATGCCAGCCACATGAACTTGGAGGTGTCTATGGACAATGCTGGCTCTTTGCTTAGATATGGAGATGAGCACCACCCCAAGAGTCAGACACAACTAGACTTAATGTCAGGGGAAACCTTTACCTTTACCTTAGAACACTCTCACTCACACATTTTACTGAATTTGCTACCAGGAAAGTTACTCAAAGGGCACAGCTTGTCTGTAAACCAAGAAAAATATGGAGCATATTTCTCAGTTTAAGTAAATTTTGCTCCCAAAAATCTTCCTGAAAGCGTGATGTGATCCATAAACAAGTCTCCACACACCTTGTTTTAAATGAAAATTGAAGGACTCTTATTTTAGCCAACTGTTGCCAATGATTAGCTGCGCTGCTCCAGAAATGGTATGCAGCTAGCAGTGGGTTTAGAGGGAGCCAATCCAACTTTCCCATCCCCAGGGGTTGCCTTTCTCTGATGTAGGCCTTAAATATGTATGTATCTCTCTCTCTCGCTCTGAATTGTACATGCACACTATTTGGGAAGGTCAGGGTTCAAGCCATGACAGAAAAGAATGACCAACTGTTACCTCAAAATGTGATGTTATTGCCCTGACCAAGTATACAGCAGTTACCCATTAGACTGTAGAAATGTGTGAGTAATTTACACCTGCATATTCATTACCTCATATATCTACAGTGTGAACTATACAATGTATGCGTGAAATGATGCCTAGTATATTCCTATATTTCTTCAATTCTGGTCAATTATTTCAGGAAATGTAAAACTTCTGGTATTAACTGCTCTGCTGAACCATTTGTGTTGCTGAATGCATTCAAGTTGCTTCTGACTTACAGTGACCCTAAGGATCCCCCATCACAAGGTTTTCTAGGACTGAGTGTATGTGGCTCTACCAAAGCTCATCCAGTGGGTTTCCATGGCTGAGTGTAGAATTGAACTCTGATCTCCTTCTAGCTCTGATGGACGATTTACATGAGTCAATTGTCTCATATAATAGCCATCAAGTGTCAAAGCAAGAGACCAGGATATTTTTCTCTCTTCTCTCCACAGGGATACTTCACTCACACTCTGTTGTATTACGGCTACTACAGTAATTTCACACTGAATGACCCCTGCGCTTCCAGTTCTAATGTCACACATTGCAGGCAGCCCAGTCAGGTCCAGCTGCCCTACAACATGCCCCTGGCCTACCTGTTTGTCACTGGGGTCTCTTTCTTTGTGACATGCATTCTTCTAGTGTACAGGTGAGATGCACCCCTTGCTCACCCTGCGTAGGAAATGACATATTTTTTATTCCTTTTTCTGGTTCAGCAACATAATGGCTACATTTTTTTTTGCTTCTGAACACTTGCTTGAAAATCATAGTAATCCCCATCAATTTCTGTTTTCCTTGGTCGTGTTCTCTTTTTCTTGCCTGTGTTCTGTTCATACACACTTGGGGAAAAACATTCATTGTTCTCAATGGCTCTTACTTTTAAGGAGCCATGCCCAGAAATCATATTGGAAAATCTTTTCTAATTTAAATATTATAATTTATTTTTAAATTCTAATATATTATCAGCAACAACACTAAAAGTTAAGGGTAGTTTATTCAGATTTCAAACAAGCGTATAATACAAGGTCAGGTAGTACAGGATGAACATCCCTTGTTTGAAATCTGAAGTATTCCAAAATCTGAAGCATTTTGCCACCAGCTACCTGCTTCTGCAGAAAGAAGAAAGCAGCCCAGAGGTGAAAGAGAGGTTGATATAATTTTTCTGTGCCAATGAATATATCCTGCAAGCCCTGGTTCCACTACCCCACTTGTTCTGTGCATTTCTACCCAGATGTAAGCCCATTGAAATCAGCGGGGTGTGTCTATTCAGCACTGCTGATTCATTTTATTGGATTTCAGCTAAAATGAAAAGATTGTATAAGACTTTGCTTACAGGATTTTTAAAAAAAGGCATTCCTAACCATATAGTCTGGAATGATATCTTCCTTTTTCAGCACATCTCGCTCCTTTGGGGAGAGCTACCGTGTGGGCAGTGCATCGGGGGAGCTGGCTGTTAAGGTCTTCTGTGCCTGGGACTACAAGGTGATCCAGAAGCGCTCTGTCCTACTTCAGAGTGAAAACATCTGCACTCAGCTGAAGGTAAGGCTGTAGAAATGCAACAATGAAGTGAAGTAGGAAACTTGTCCCCTGAGTAGACAGAATTATAGGACTCCAGAAATCAAATGCCTGCACTTTTGACTCCAGGGCCACAGAAAATACAAAGAAGTTCCAAAGCAATCGCATATTCAAAAACATTTTGGGCTATAGTGCTGCTAACTCTCCAAACTCGGTGATTAAAACAAAAGGAGTTCTACCTTCATTACTGTGTGTATGTGTGTCATTATGTGTCGGCTGTAGAACAAATGATTTATAACAAATATATTGAATTATGATAAAATAAAAAAATATAAAAAACCAAAACAACAAAACAAAAATAGTTCTGCCTTCATTACTCTCTCTCTCTGTGTGTGTATGTGTGTGTGTATATATATATATATATATATATATATATATATATATATAATCTCACTCTAGACAGGAGAACATTAGAATCACTGACTTGGATTCTTCCAAATATTTAGGTTCTTGGGATTCACAGATCTTCGAAGTATTTATGGCCAGAGGACAGAAAGCATGTCCCCTGCCCCATCACTTCAAGATGCAGTTCGGCTTCTTTGTGCTGCTTGACTTCCTAGCCCAGTGATTTCCAGGCTTTGGTCTCTAGGTGTTTTGGACTTCAACTCCCAGAAACCAGCTGTTAAGAATTGTGAGAGCTGAAGTCCAAAACATCTGGAGGACCAAAGTTTTGGAAACCACTGGCCTAGACAATCATATTTTAGGAGTTTTTCTAACATGTCATCCTGATGTTTGGGTTTGTTTTGGGTTTTTTTTTAGGAGTGTCTGGCTGAACACTGGGCTAGATCGAATCCATTAAACCTGTGTAAGAGACTGCAAAGGATGGCCATCCTGTTGATGTCCTGGGCTGTATCCCTGGGTATTGTTCTGGGCTGTGCCATTGGTGTTTACTACTTCTCAGAGTACATCCATCAGGTGAGTGAGTTTCTGGCAGTTGGAGTCCCTTACCAAATGCAGAAAAGGGAATTATTAGCCTCTGCTGGGGAAGAGATAAAAGCAGTAGGCCAAGTTTCTGGTCACATGAATAGATAGGATCAAATATTTCTGTAGGAGTTATTTTTGGAAGGGTTGCCTTTCACGCACAGAGCTACAGTTCTAGATTTCTTCCAAAGACAGGATCTGGTGGTGCCTTGATGGCTGACCTAACAGCAGTTCGCTCTCTTCTGTGTTATAATAAACATTCAGTGTTGATTCTTTTGAATGCAATACAGACCCCTGTATCTGTGAAAGATATGCTTCTGTGGAAACAGGAAATTATGAGTAGTACTGAATCCTATTGCAATGAATTACTTCTGTGGGATTTTACTATAGAGTTGCCCTGAAGGTCCTAGAAATTTCCTAGAGATAACTTAATTTGTTGAATGCGGGTATGTGAAAATATAAGTATGGGTTTTGTGGCTATGGGGTTGTATAGTTCATTTACATTATTTTAATATGAAACACATATGAGGCCAAGAACTTCTGTAATCAACCCCAACAGTAGCAGCTTGCTATCTCTGGGGAAGCAAATGGCTGCCTTCCAGAAAACAAACTCTTTAAACATTGCAGTACTGCTGTGGCCTTCACTGTGTCCTTTAGTTGCCTGTCACGGGTCTTGTAATGTCACAGGAAAGGTTCACTGTGTTTAAATCTTGTTCTTTTATGTCCAACTCAGCTTTTGTTAAATATGAACAAGTCAGCACATGCTAGTCGGCATTGAGAGAATTCCCTGCTCAATGTTTTTTGAAGTGAGGGGAAAGCAGCCCACAGAACAATTGCTTCTCCTCCTCAGGTTCACCAGGACAAGTTCTCAGCAAGCAACCGTGCTGGCAAAGAAGCTCTCCTGTTGTTCCTGCCACTGCTGGTGTCTCTGATAAACCTATTGGTGCCATATATGTACAACCTCCTGGCCGCTTGGGAGAAGCAGGAGTCTCCAGTCCTAGAGGTGTATGTTGCTATCTGCAGGTAACCCGAAGCCTGGCAGTTAAAATGAAGTTTGGGGTGGGGGATGTTGCTACTTCTGCAGTTTGTATGTGTTGGGCGTTGCCAGCAGAAGGCTAGGTCAGTGGTTCTTAAATTGTGGGTCCCCAGGTGTTTTGGCCTACAACTCGCAGAAATCCCAACCAGCTGTTAGCATTTCTGGGAGTTGAAGGCCAAAACATCTGGGGACCCACAGGTTGAGAACCACTGGTCTATTGTATTGAAGTTGTTCCCCTGGTTTGTATGGATTTGTGGACCCTTTTGCTTTCTTTTTTATTCTTTTTCCAAGAAGAAGAAGACTGAACAAATCTGTTCTCCAAGATAATCTCAGTGCCCTGTTTTTATGACAGGCCACACAGATATAAGGGAGGCATATTGCAGCTTGTTTCTCTTTTCTGTTTGCTTTTGTCTTTCCCGCCCACACTGTACCAGAAAGGGATCTGAGCACCATTAACAGCCACGGACCTGGGTATCAAGGAACAAGGTAGCACCCATAAAGTAGAACCATGCCATTTCTGGGTCTTGCAGAAAAAGGGAAGAAGTAATAACACTCCATAGATAATCTCGTTCTTGCTGAATTATTTTTTTGTGGCTTGGTAAGAGGAAGCCAATTATGGGTCATATGTGGGTTTATGATGCCAGTGCTTGATGCCCATCTTGTCTACGACAGAGACAGCAAAATAGAGGCAGAAGGCTTTTATATATCCAGATTTATTATTACCGGTCAGTAAAACATGTAAACAATATTCACATCTTTACTGGTTTTCTTGCAAAGCGGGAAATTCAGTCAATTGAGTTTAGTGGTTATAGAAAATGGTTTGCTTTTTTTAGTGGTTATAGTGGTTTATTGATTGAGTTTAGTGGTTATAGAAAATGGTTTGCTTTTTACGTATTGAGCTGGTGACTTTCATTACTTTGGACTGACAAATCATTACTATGGAGAAGTCAAGATGGAACACTACTCTTACTTTTGAATGACAGATATTTTTTCCATCGGGTTGCTTCTGCTTTCTCCAGTGCTTTTCTTGATGGTATAATTCTCAGGCAAACAGAGCTAATTGTTTTGGTTCCAATACTGCATGTTTACTTGTTAGGAAGATAAAAAAAAGTATCTGCTTCAACACTGTGTTGCAAAGTAGATCCATCCCTAAGTACCACTTGAGTCTGGACAATCCAAAACACAGTCTGGAACAAGAAAAGACAGACAGGTCCTTGTAGAATGGAACCAGTGCAACATGAAGATTACAATTTTTTTTGTTCAGATTTCTGAGATGAAAATCCTACTCCCCATTGAGCCACAAAATTACTGAGTGACCTTGGCCTGCTCTCTTATCTATCACCCTAAGAATAACCTTACAGAGAAAGAGGCTGAACTCATTTGAAAAAAGGACAAATATAAAGTTATCTACATGTGTATATATCTGCCCTTGGGTTGAATGTTGACTTTTGATGACCCCATGAATTTAATTGGGGTTTCTCAGGCAATGAATATTCAGAGCTGTGTATCCTTTGCCAGTTCCTTTCTCTGAAGTATAGCCTCTATATATACTACAGCCTATAGTATCTGGTTTTCACTGGCAGTCTCCTCTCCAAGTACTAACCAGGATTAGGATCTGGTGCCTTTAGGGCAGTGGTTCTCAACCTGTGGGTCCCCAGGTGTTTTGGCTTACAACTCCCAGAAATCCCAACCAGTTTACCAGCTCTTAGGATTTATGGGAGTTTATAGCCAAAACATCTGGAGACCCACAAGATGGGAACCACTGCTTTAGGGGGTATTTACATATAGCAATGTCACAGTTGGGGATAAATAAATAAGTTGGCTTGCACCACTGAACCCTACAGATTTCCAGTTTATAACACAGTCATCCTTTCGCTTTTCACAGTTCTGCAGCTTTGAAAGTGGCAGAGTTTCTCCTGCCCCTAATAATAAGAGGATTTGTGTGATGAAATTAGGGACACCAGTTACTGTGACCTGGAAACGCTTTTCTTCCTTCATCTACAGGAACTTAATTCTTAAGATGGTTATTCTAGGCCTGCTCTGTTACCACTGGCTGAGTCGGGAAGTGACCTCTTCAAAGATTCAGGTCAGTGGGAATTTGTGACACCTAAGCTTTGTGCTGCTGGAATAGCTCCAGAGATGATGAGGACTAGGCCCTTGTGACTTATTTAAACAATGGGCCAAGTACACAAAGCAGCTTTGAATGCTTGGAAAAGAAGAGCTTTTCCCATTCTTGTTAGTTCTGCATGGGCTGCTATGGGCACACAGAGAGCTTCCCCCAAGATTGCTCATGGCTTTCAGTTGTAGTTCAAGAAAAGCAACTTTTTGAAAGGGAAAATGGCACTGATGTCAGCAGCTTTTCGTGTTGCTAATTACAGATGGAGATCTGTAATCAAGTGCTAAGCCAATCAGTGTGGTGTATCTATGGAACAAAGGGATAGTTGTTTGTTCTTTAACAGCAATTGCAACCTTCCCCCTTCAAAAGCCAGAGGCTGGCGGTTCCTCATTCTGTCAAGTGAAAAGACCTCTCAGATCAATAAAGCTCTTTCTGCTAAGTTGGGTTGTATCCAATATAGACTAGTATTTTTGTGATTTTAAAAGCAGAAGCATTAATCCCATGAGACACTGGGAGAAACAAATTAGGGAAGAGCTCTAGAACCGGGGGCGGGGGGTTGTATTCAGATGTTCTTGGGCAACATTTCACATCAGCCTGAGGACCTCTTCATACAGCAGTGCTGTTGTGCCAACAATAGCCGGCGAAAAAGAAGGCATGTGGGGTGGCTCAGGGTGCCCCATGCACCTTCTTTCCTCCCCACATCATATGGATGGGACAGGGTGCTTTGGCATCCTTTCCCTCCCCTCATCAGATGGCAGAAAGGGTGGCAACATGGGGAAATTGAAGGGGCAGTGCGGGTAGTGCTGTTGGAGCTACCCAAACTCTCTTTTCTTCCCCATTGGAGTAATCACCTTTTAGCACTTCTCCACTTTGGGAGGAATGTGGGTGGGTCTGCCATGTGTTGCATGATGGCACACGGCAGGCTCCACCCTGGCTGTGATAAAAAGCAGCAAAACGGGGCGAAAATACCTAATGTGAAGCGGTCCCTAGTCAGCACAGCCAATGGTGACAGGCCTTGAAGTTCAGCAATATGTGGTGGGCCACATCTTTTCCCTCCTACTCTCATACATTGATAAAATAGAAGTAACCAGCTAATGTCCGGTATCCCTGCTGCCCCACAGTGACTTCCTGTTATGGTGCCAAACTTTCCCCCAGGACACATCCACTTATATTAGTTACCTCCTTGGCTACTTTCTCCTGATACAGAGCACTGGGAAAGAGATCTTCAAGCTATTTATTTCCAGTAGGAGTGGAAGTAAAAACATTGGTATAGTTCTTCTCTTGAGCAGTTCACCACCACACACCTCTTGCACTTGGTCCAAGAAAATCCAGGCCAATAAAGAATTGTAAATTTAGATCTATATGGAAAGGAAACATTTATATGATCCATGTCCAATCACCCAAGGCAGGAGAGACTGAACAGGGTTTTTTGCCCATGTCCCCTTTCAAGGCAATTGGCCCTTCAAACTTTGCTCAGTTCAACACACGGGTACTGTCAGAAATTAGTTGCTACTGTGAAATACACACTATTTGTTTGATGCTCATTTACCCTCTGTGAGGACTATGGAAGTGGCTCCATGGGTGGGAAAGAGAAAAGGCCCTTTCTTCTACTACTTCTGATTCAGGGGGCTCTTATCTTTTTTCCACAGTGCTGGGAGACCTTTGTAGGGCAGGAGCTCTATCGCTTGGTGGTGATGGATTTCATTTTCACCCTCTTGGATACTTTCTTTGGAGAGCTGATGTGGAGGTAACGTTCAGGAAACGCCTTTCCCCACAAATCAAAATGTAATCTAACTTTCCCTTTCCAAGATCATTGTCTCCATGGTCAGTGTCACTTCAGGCATATAAAACGTACTTGAGTTCACTTGCAGCTGAAAATCTGAGGGATAGTAAGACAGGCAAGACTTCCTCATAACCACTTATTGCACCCTGGTGGTGCAATGAGTTAAACCCTTGTGTCGGCAGGACTGAAGACTGACAGGTCAGAGGTTTGAATCCAGGGTGAGTGTGGATGACCTCCCTCTGTCAGCTCCAGCTCCCCATGCAGGGACATGAGAAAAGCCTCCCACAAGGATGGTAAAACATCAAAACATCTGGGTATCCCCTGGGCAATGTCCTTGCAGACAGCCAATTCTCTCACACCAGAAGTAACTTGCAATTTCTCAAGTTGCTCCTGACATGAAAAAAAAAACCCTCCACTTATTGTATACATGTGCAGAATGAATGAAGCATATCTTCTTTTGTACGTAACCATACTAGATCTTGGGCTGCGTGGCATATAGAAGCCCCACTGCATTGCAGCTCTAAAACCGGTCATGTTGCAGGCTGTTGGACTTGCTTTGGCATGGGCATAGGATAGGGCTAAGCTTTCCTTCCACCAAATCATTATGGTGCTCCAGTAAAAAGCCTCAAACGAATACAAACTTTGTGGATTTAACATCATGGCAGGAACTTTGGAGCAGTAACAGGCATCATCTCTGCTGCTTGGTGGGCAAGCCCTCTAGGAATAAGACGACTTTCTCTGGGTTGTTGAATAAAAAGGAATGGGAATGAAAAGGCCACTGTGGGAAAGAATATGTGTTTGTGTACTACCATAATGAGGGCTTCTTAACTTCTTAATTGATAGGTTCTAGCAGTAGACTCACAGTTTAATTGTTGATAGTCAGACACGCTTTCTTTCTCTCTGCTATTCAGAGTGATTTTAGAGAAGAAGTTGCAACGTAAACAGAGACCGGAGTTTGACATTGCTAGAAATGTGCTGGAATTGATTTATGGACAATCCCTGACCTGGTAAGAAAATTTCAGTCCCATCCTCTGCTAAATCACAGCCTCTCCCCTTTGCCATTCTTGTACTTATATTGTTTACTTATCTTGGAAGACAGAAACACTAAACTATTTTCGGACAAGGCTGAGGATGTTAGGAATACCTGCTTATTTATTTAAAGCATGTGTATCCTTTGTCATAAGAAGTGTTCAAGGTGACTTCTGAGACAAATTAACATAGGAATCTCCCTTGCCTTGAGTCAAGTCACTGGTTGAACCAGCTCACCGTTGTCTCCTACAATGACAGCTGGAGGTCTGCCAATCTAGCAGTTTGAAAACATGCAAATGTGAGTAGATCAGTTAGTACCACTTTGGTGGAAAGGTAACAGGACTCCATGCAGTCATGCTGGCCACATGACCTTGGAGACGTCTATGGACAAGGCTTAGAAATGGAGATGAGCACCCCCCCCCCCCCCCCACAGTCACACATGACTAGATCTAATGTCAAGGGGAAACCTTTACTTTTAACTTTACTTACATTGGCCCATGAATAAGTCAATCCAGTTTTTTGGGGTCAAATTTTTAACGAATATTTCTAGACTTATAAATAAGTATATACAATAGTAAGTGGGCATTTGCTAAACTAGCAAGTCAGTAGCAATAAATCTAGATAGAGAGGACCCTCCACTTCCAGCACAGCTGTCCCATCCTTCCTTCCTTCCCAAAGTAGAACCTATTAGTCTTTCTGATGCTGAGGAAAATACAGCAAAATGATTTAATAATATCCACCTCATGTCTCTTTCTAGGCTGGGTGTCTTTTTTGCCCCACTCCTCCCTGCTGTCCAAATCCTCAAGTTGCTGCTCTTGTTTTATATAAAGAAGGTAATGGCTTTTCTATTTGCGGTCAAGCAGCCCGTGTGAGTAAAAAGAAGGATTATAGATATAACTGGAAACCAGGGGGTGGGGGTGTATAACCATGTTGAGCAGGACCTCTGGATCTGCTGGAAACATAAATAAAGGAAGTAGAAATCTAGTGTAAATCTTAGGTCAGCAGGAAGCAGCTTTGTGTGAGCCGAGAAGGACTAAGTTACATGCTGAGTTTTGTAGTATAACCCTGGGGTTTTTAACAATGAAAGCAACCTTTGGAGGTTGCACTCTGGATAGAAATACAAAGACAAATAGAAAAAGTGCTTATCCTTTTCTGTGCTGGTGATTTTTCCCATCCAGAATTACCCACAAGTTGCTTTATTCTTTGCAAGGGTCTAGGTGTGTATTACCCATTAATGTGGAGCAGTCAGGTAAGGTGTTGTTGTGACCAGTCTTCCTCAATGTGTGGTTAAGTTTCATTCAGAGGTGATCTAATTCTAGCCTACTATATTCTTCCTAGGCCAGTTTGATGAGAAATTGTCAGTCTCCCAGTAAACCCTGGCGTGCATCCCACATGAGTACCATCTTCATCACTTTGTTGTGCTTCCCTTCATTCCTGGGCGCCTCCATATTCCTCTCCTACACCATATGGGCGTGAGTAGATCTTCAGGGCAAATGTCACCTGCTGCATCTCCATTTTAGACATTGCGTGGTAAATGTTCAGCCATCACGGAATCCTTTTTTGGTGTCATCCCTTTAAATCTGAAATAAGAACTATCCTACTCATGTATCTTTTTGGGATCTTTGCTTTTCTTTTTACTATATAGTAATACACGTACACACACACACATACACAGATGTATCAGGTACATAGTCAAATATACACATGCATAAAATATACACATGCACACACTGTATATTAATTACAGCCTTTGCCCTGTATATAAATTAATTTAGAAAAGTTGTGTATGTATGTTGAAATATAGAGATATAAAATCATTAGATGTGCCAAGTAGAATAGTACTCTTTGACTAGTCATTTCATGCTTATCCGTTTTTTGTCTTTTCAGAGTAAGACCCTCAGAGATGTGTGGACCCTTCCAAAGTTTTGAGACCATCTATGATTCTGGGAAGACATGGGTAGTGGATCTAGAGCAATCTAGCCCAAATCTTACCTGGTTTACCTGGATCCATCAGCATCTGATCCAAAATAGCTTCTTTTTGTTTTTAATTTCTGGAATTTTGCTGTAAGTTGAAATGACTCCATTGTTCATTTATACTTAATAACCATAGTCACTGTCCTTGCAACAGTCTAGAATGTACAAAGTCGTTTGGCAGTTGCATTGTTCACTAGATATGGAATATTTCTGTGATTTAAAAAAGTTTTTTGTGCCCTGTTCTCAACCTAATGCAACACAGGTAAACTCTGAGCTTTTGTACTTTAAAAAAAGTATTTCTTAATGAAACAGGAAATACTTGCCAGTAAAGACAGAAAAAATGAATACAGAATGGGGGATACCTGGCTCAACAGCCATACATGTGAAAAAGGTCTTGAAGTCATCATGGATACCAAGTTAAACATGTACCAACAATGTGATGCGACAGCTAAAAAAGCCAATGAGATTTTGGCCTGCACAAATAGGAGTATAGTGTCTAGATCCAGGGGAGTCATGCTACCCCTCTATTCTGCCTTGGTCAGTCCACACCTAGAATATTGTGTCCAGTTCTGGGCACCACAGTTTAAAGAAGATGTTGTCAAGCTGGAACGTGTCCAGAGGAGGGCAACTAAAATGATCAAGGGTCTGGAGAACAAGCCCTGTGAGGAGCAGCTTAAAGAGCTGGGCATGTTTAGCCTGCAGAAGAGAAAGCTGAGAGGAGACATGATGGCCATACATAAATACATGAAATGAAATCATAGGGAGGAGGGAGGAGGCTTGTTTTCTGCTGCCCTGGAGACTAGGACATGGAGCAATGGATTCAAATTACAGGAAAGGAGATTCCATCTAAACATTAGGAAGAACTCCCTGACTGTAAGAGCTGTTCAGCAGTGGAACTCTCTGCCCTGGAGTATGGTGGAGGCTTTTAAGTAGAGGCTGGATGGCCATCAGCTGGGGGTGCTTTGAATGCAATTTTCCTGCTTCTTGGTAGGGGGTTGGACTGGATGGCCCATGAGGTCTCTTCCAACTCTATGATTCTAAATAGAACATAAGTAAGTACTTTTCTCCCGTACTGTTAATGCCAAGGAACAATCACAATGTACGTACATCTCAATCTACTGATAGGAATGGTTTGTAGAAATAGCAGTAAATAATTCTTCTGCCCTGCTTGTCCTGTATTAGAGTTCTAAAAGTTTTAGGGGAATCAGGAGGTGATTTCTGTATGTAATTCAGTTCCCTGTGTTGGTTTTGAACGTGGTTCAGGCTGATGGACCTTGGAGATCTAGTGAAGAGTTAAGTAATATTGCAAGCTTGATGTCTGCCCAACTGCACCTTAAGCTGCTATAAAAAAAGATTTTTGTAATTGTTGTACAGTCACAAACATGTTGCTTCTTGTCCAGTCACACAGATTTAAGTAAACAGGCTTCATGTAGCTCACAGTGGCTGAGAGGCCAAAATACTCATCCAAATTAGTGTTTTAGATGTATCCACTATCTGGGAACACTGACTGCCTTTGTTCTCTTTGTGAGAATTCAGACTAAAACATTACTTCTGTTGGTGATTCATTTAGCATCTTTTATCTGCATACTGGGATTTCTTTTTGAACATGTGTTGCTCAGCTTCTCAGCAGAATCTTCATATTTCACATCCTTATGATTTGCAGAGCTGTGATCTACCTCAACATTCAAGTGGTGAAGGGACAACGGAGAATCATCACCCTCCTGAAGGAGCAGATTGCCAACGTGAGTGCTGAGTGCAAGGCAGGGACAGTCTCTTACTTAGTACTAAAGAACATCAAGCCCTCAAGCCTTAAATTGCATTGAAACAAAAAAATGGCAGTATTCCAGCAATTGTTTTTTTGTCAGTGAATGCTGTGTCACAATAGAAGTCACTGCTGTGGTTAAATGAAATGCACTCTGGATAGGAACAACACTGTAACAAAGATGCAGTTGGTGGCCCAATTTTCACTGACAGGTAACAGACATGCACCCTCAAGTATCTACCTGTAAAGGTCTGCAGGTGCAGTGCACCTTCCATGCTGGATCTGTGCAGTATTCAGAATCTCTTGATGCAAATCTTCCATTTCAGTAGCAAGAAAAAGAAATAAATATACCACCTTTTGCACTGATTCATAAAACAACAGGGAAAAAGACAAGTGATTGCAGATCATATTAGTTTCAGACTTAGGGTGCACCCATTTGGTCTTTTAAGAATGTCATTTTTCTTCTACTTACCTTAAATTGATGCTTCTGTTCGATGTTTTGTCTTATGTCTGATATAACAGGTTGCACTTTTTATTTAATTTTAGTTGTCAAGTCATAACTTGTTTTTATATGTTGGGCTGCCAAATTTCATTATTATGGGTGTATTTGTGTTGTGTTCGGGCATTGAATGTTTACCTTTCATGTTTGGAATCCACCCTGAGTCCCTTCGGGAAGACAGGGCGGAATATAAATAGTTTTATTTATTATAATAATAATAATTATTATTAAATACCTCTATTCCAGGAAGGAGAAGATAAGATGTTTCTCATTGAGAAGCTTCATACTATATATGGGAAATGAGAGAACCATGCAGCAGAAAATAAGGTATGTGCTTCAGAGCTCTACATTGATGAGTTGCATGAAATGACTGCAGCTTGGATAAGAGGATGTGGAGAGAGCATGGCTGTCTAGCATATACATTGCTGTACGGTCAAAAATGGCACTGGGGACACTTAGGCCCTCCTGCTGTTTATAAAGTACTAATCTCACCAGTCTTCACTGTTGGCCATGATGGGAATTAAAGTTTAGCAAAATCTATAAGATTTGTAATCCTGGACAAAAGTCTGAGCACTGAGGCCATGCATCCTGCGTGTCTGTACCTGTGTTGAGCCTGAATGCTTGCAAGAGGAGCATTTCACTAATGTTTGCAGCATCAGTTTTTTTTCTGTGCTTGGTCCTTTTTTGAAATGAATAAAACACAAACAGGAGGTACCGATAGAAAGGAAAGGGAAAGCAGCTTATTTCCTTTGTGCAAGTCTTCTGCTAGAAAATATTTTTGATGCAAGCTGTATAACTGAGGAGAGAGTAAATTGAGCATAATGCTGACAGATTAGAATGACTGCTGGCAAATTCACCCGGCGTTAGGTGAAGGAATGAGTTAAACATTATGGGCAAGCAGGTGGATTGCTGAACTCTGGACATACATCTCATTTTCTTGTTTTCTCTTGGCAAGGCTCTTGAGACTGGAAGCAGCTCCAGATGAGAGGTGGCTGTGAGGTGCAAGAACAAGTGGAATAATCCAGCATTCCTGTTGCTGCCAAACTTCATTTTAAAGCACGGACACCTGGTTCAAAGGAATCTAGGCAGAGGGAACCACTTCACAATAACAAGATTATGCACCATTACATCATTTTTGCACTGGAAATTGGAAATCTTTAGTTCCATTCCTGGAACAGGATAACAGAACAGTGGATTTGCTCATTCTGTTCAGAATACTCCTGGGACAAAAAAATTAAGAGAAAGAATGAAGGAGGAAGGTGGAATGGGGAATACAACAGAAAAGATAAAACAGAGCTTTGGAAAAAAAGTTAGGTTCTTGGCAAAGGACAGTGATGGGAACAATCCTCCAGACAGCAAAGACCTCTGTGATTGAAAATGACAGCTCAGATATCCCTAGCATTTTATGCTTAAAGGGTAAATTCTCATTCTGGACCTAAAAAGATTGTATGTAGATGAAGAATCTTGCTAGAACTACTCTGGGAACAGGTTCGCACTGCTGAAAACATTGGGCAGCTTTGTTTTTAGAAGATTATAGAGGATTCCCATCTGCTTTCAGTCCGAGAACAACTGTTTCTAGCATTTGAGAGCAATTCCAGCTTTCATGGATTGGCAAGTGGACATTTTCCTTGAACTGGAGTAAAGGATCTTAGAACCACTTGAAAGATAAGGAAGTGGATTTGTTTTTTCAAAGAGAAGAACTGAATTGATGGAAAGTCTAAGAGGCAAAATGGCCCATGGGCTTCTTGTATTGGACTTATGAATCATGGGACTATAATGTGAGACTTACTTAAATGACTACCAGAAACATCATGATTTGGTGTAATTAAACTACTCTTTTTAAAAACTTTCTCAACAGTATTACTTTTAAAATTTCTTCCTTGGTTGGCAATATGATGTGCCATGACTAAACTAGTGAATGTTGATTTGGTTTGGAAAGTTCTTGTGAAGAACATCAGTCAAGTCCATTACATGGATGCCCCTGCATTGTGTCTCACAGTTGTGAACAGAACTGTATTTCACTACTGAGCACCATTTCACAAATAGAGGATATTTAGCCCCTTCCTGCCACTGACAGAACAGGGCTAGCTGGGGGACTGGGGTTGAGAATGATAGAATTTCAAAACTATGTACATGACTACTCATTAACCATCTCACCAGTTTTCATGAAGCCTAAGAAACTCAATATTTAGAATACATGATACACAGCTTAAGGCCACTGCATGTTGCTCCTTCTGCCATATTTTCTGTACTCAGATTTGCATGATTGGGATTGTGCAACTGTTAAAAGTTGCCTATTATTCAATGTAGTGAGAGAAAGATTTCTTTCTCTCCAACATCCTGACTGATAAGAAGTCCTTAATAAATGGTCCTAGTGAAAAATGGCCTGGCACCATGGAACAATGAAATATTGTTCTTGCCTTTAAGAGAAATTCTGTGTGTTTGAATGAAGACAGGGCTTCTATTATCCACTGAAAACTGACTGCATACATTTAATCGTATCTAGTTATCAGAGTATGATTGTAGTTTGAATTTATGTTACACTCCAAGAGATTATTGAAGAAAGAAGGCTAATGGACTTGTGATACTTTTTACTGATGCTGTGGTAGGAAGAATTAGGAAGGATACAATGATAAGAAAGGAACAAAATAATGTAGACTATCTTACTTTGGCCATATCACGAGACAACACATCTAAGAAGAAAATACTATGTTCGATGCAAGAAACTTACAAAATTAAGATAATTTTAGATCCAACTTAATTTTTAGAGAGTTTATCAAGTGAACAAATTCAAATTTTGAACTAGTAATGCATTCCATGCTTTTAGCTGGAAGAATACTATATGCTTAGCGGGGGGGGGGGGGGGAACGGATTTGTCATTCAGACAAGCTTAAATTTTAAAGTTGGTGGAAGTGGCTGAAATGGATAAGATGTCAATGATGATAAAAGAAATCTACAAGAAACTTTAAAAATTATTTGTAACCTTTCATAACCTTCATAAAGAAGAAAGAAAATATGAAGGTATTTGTAAGTTTTGAAGATTTAAACATAATACCTGGTAAAGGGAAGAAGAAAACAATGTTTCTGACGTTACTGTTTCTAGGGATGTAGTGCTTTTACATTTTATAGCTAATTTTAAATGGTGAGCTTGATTCCTTTTTCTTTTTTATGTAGAGGGGATAAGTTTTAGAGGAAAATTGCAGTTTGATGATGTACGTGAGTAATAAGATATTAAGACTGATTGGAAATGTATGACATGCACGCTTGTATTACAATTTTTTTCAAAAAAGAAAACCGTTTGGTGAAATGAAAGTTAGTGGAGAAACAGGAAGACTGCATTACAAGTAGATTCAATCAAGCTCTAAATCTGCAGGATATGAACGGGACGATTGATAGGGTGTCTTGGAGTTATCTCTTTCATAGGTCTGTCATACATCAAAACTAAGTAGTAAACAAAACTAACAAGTAAACAAAAAGGAGATTGACAGAAGTGTTGTATATAAGACTGCTTCTTAAATGGGGTCTTTTAAGCTAAAAGTTGGGTTCCTGAAAAACTTGGCAACAGAAACTTTTCTGAACATCACTTAGTGGCTGTTTTAGATATTTATATGAATATGTTCCACAGTTTTTAGTGGTCTCTGCAGATGCTTCAGCTGTACTTCCTAAAATGGAAAATCAGTCTGTTTAGCAAGCCTTGAAAATGATGGTTTATTAGTAGTAAATGTTTGATTTTTATACCTATTTTATGTCCCTATGTACCCAGGGTCACATAAAATTTTCTTGAGCTGAAAGGAGTTGCAAGTGGAAAAGTTTAAGAAACCCTGGTATAGCATATAAAAGTAACGGTGTAGTGTAGTGGTTAGATTAGCACTCTGGGAGCCAGGGTTCAAATTCCCACTCCACCCTTGGGCACATCAGAGTCTTTCAGCCCCAGAAAAAAGCAATGGCAAACCTCTCCTGAACAAATTCTGCAAAAAACAAAAAACAAAACCCAAAAACAAAAACACTTGGACAGATTCACCTTAGGGAATCCGTAAGCCAGAAAAGGCTTGAAGGCATACAAGAACATCATAGCATGTAAAATCAGATTAGTGGGTTTAGCCTGCTGCTCTTTCTTGCAATTTTCGCAAACAGTTTTATTGAGAATACTTGTTTTGTGAATCCTTTTTGAGCAAAGATAGGCATAATATGGTTAATACATGGAATTGGTATTACACAAAGTTAGTTTCACCATTTTTAGTTCTGTGGGCGCCAATAGTGCCAATATAGGGTTTGTTTTTTTTTTACATAAGATTAACTTCTCACCAGCAGAATGAAGCAATTAAACATGCCCAAGGTTCAAGTCTAGCATTATTATTATTATTTATTTACGTATAACGCTTTTCTCACTTCTGGGGGGGACTCAAAAGCAATTTCCAATAGCATCCTGCAATCTGCTCTAGAAACCTAGTAGCATCTCAGTGTTTCAAACAAAAGAGGCAATGAGCTGATTCAACAGAAAAATATTTATTCTCAATTTCAAACTGTATCCGAGTCTATAGAAGTAATCTTTTGCCCACTGCCTGCAGGGGACAGTCAATTTAGTTTGCTTGTACTTTCTAATTCACTTCTCCAGATGCATCCATGTTGAGCAGCAATCTTTCTTCTGCTTATTGTTTCATTGAGGTCCTTGAGTTGAGAACTAGCCCCAGCTCCTGTAATGCTTAGCTTTAATTGCACAGAGTGGAATTAAACCACTGCAACACATTGGATAAGCCTGTGCCATCCCGGGCACTCGTCTCCAAAACAGCAATGGGCTGTTTAGCGAAGGTAATGATATCTTGGATTCGGAATAATGACTTCATTTCCACAAGGGACATGTAACAGGGTAGGTCGCTAGAGCCAGAGAAGAAAGAAAATAGTTATGCATTCCTATCTGCTTGCTGAACTGCTTTCAAAAAGAATCCCCAAATAGAAACATGATGTAGTTCTTTCATCATTCTGGGCTTGATGTTCAGTAATTACTGAAGCTCAATACATTGTTCCCTCCTCCTAACTGTCTGATCTCCTGCATGGGCATGCAAATTAAGCATTTCTTACATCTTGTTGAAAATGATAAGAACAGGAACTGATGCTAGCTTTTCAGCAGAAAGGAGTGACAAAAGTTGTACACAGGATGAAGAAATCTGGGTAGGCCTGGCAGCGTCAATCATGTACTGCAGAGAGAGAAGAAGATTGAGAGACAGAGACAGAGAGACACAGGCTCAAATATCAATAACAAGCAATGGGAACTTTTGGTTCAAGTGCCAAAACTTCCCACTAATAAGCACAGCAGGAAAAGACACTATATATACACGGCCCCTTGTCATTCATGGAGCACAGCCTGTGGATGGTCTGGTTCCTTTCGAGGATCAAAACAGATTTTCCTGGAAGTTAAAATTTTATTTTTTGTTAAAGTGGAAGCATTTTTTTGCAAACTCTACTGTAAGCATTACATTATGTTACTAACAGATTTGTGTAAATAGGTGTCATTCAGAAACCTTTGACTGTTGCCAAATTTTTCATGACATTGAGCTAAGGGATCCCCATTTGGGGTCGGGACCCGTAGTTTAAAAAACAGTGGCTTATACAAATGTCTTAGTATTACTGTTCAAGTGATCACAAGTTACCAGAGCATGAAGGATTTTAAAAATCCAAGAAAATCCAAGCCATTGCAAAGAACAGTATCTCAGAAACAACATATTGTAAGGCCAGTATAAGCCCTGCCAATTCCAGTGCAGAACATAGCAGGTGTGCATAAAGCTTTTGTGGGCTTGTGTTTAACTGAAACAAAGTAAAGAGCCAACCACAGAGGGATGAGTAAAATACATATGCAAACAGAGCTCCTACCAGGACAGAGCAGCAGTCACTGTAGTAACTTGACCAGATGGGACCCATGCATCCCCCCAATTCCCGCACTGTAATCTTCTTTCCCAGTGAGAGGTCTGTAAGATTTGTGCCGACCTGGAAAAAAAATTATCAATTAGACTTTTATAGTGTTGACTTGTACATAGCTGAGTACAAGAACTGAGCGTGAACCAAGCCTTGGCAGGAGTACAGACCTTGACTGGGATCTTCTCTCCGTACGTTAGAAAATGCCAATCAGAGAAATGCAACCAATATACAATATAAAGTAGTAACAACTATAATCGGTAGTACACATTTTCTATTCCACAATTTGTCTACATCACATTCAGCTGCCAACACCAGTCAGTAGCAGTCTAGTAAATCATGTGTAATCTGTGTTCTTAGCATTCCGCACTAGTCAGCAGAAAAGCAGCAGCCAAACCAATAATTTATTAACTCAGTTATCATCTACCGAAGGACTGAGGCACCTATGGCCTCAGTTGTTGGGCTACAGCTTCCACCATTTCCATCTATTGACCATCCTGCTGGGATCTTGCAATATCTCAAGAATCACAGATTTCTTGTTTTGGCTCTAGTCTGAATGAGCAGCTGCCTAGTTCCTGGCCAAAATACTTTCTGCTTGCAAATCTGGTGTATTGATATTAATTTCTCCCTTTATTCTTCTCCTTCCTGGAGGGAGCCAGACATTTTATCACTATTCCCGGTGCTATTTGGAGAGCGAGATATTTCAACTGGTTCACCCTTGACAGAGAAACCAAACCATTTGTGAAGAACTGTTGAAGAATGAGGGCCATAAAACATTCAGCTGTCTTCCCCTCCTTAGCTCTCCTTGCATTGTGAACCATTAAATTCAGTTAGTAGTGCCTAACAAGGAAGGATGGCTTGTTTTTATCTTTAGAATAAAATTCTCATCTCCTCCTGCTGCCCAAATTGCACTGATTGAGAATCTGAGACTCACACAATCGAAATGAATGGCTAAGTTGCTGATACTTTCATTGCTTAAGTAATGAAAAGCTCTGAACGTTAAAATTTCTCACTAAAGAGCCTGCCTTATGATGTCTTTTACAAATGAAATACTGCAAATTTTTACACCTGGAGCAAGCAGACAGCTTGAGGATGTGCCATATTCATATTATTCACATAGACATGGCACATCCTCAAGAATTGACTTGATATTTGGTACTAAGGAACTAGTG